CCCCCCCCCCAGCTTGAACCTTCCCTGTGGTTTCCCATCGACACTAGGAAAGACCCAAAGCCCTTCAAACTTTTAGACTGTCAGAGTCTTACCCCTTCCCCGCGTCACTCTGCCCCTGTGTCCTGTCTTGCTCCACATTTGTGATTCTCCCCCCAGCCTACTCCACTCCATCCACACTGTCCACCGTGATCTTTCTGGAATTGGACAGTCAGGGCACTGCCTTAGAGCCTTTGGATTTGGAAGATTTCCTGCCTGGAAGAGTTCCCCCAGATATTCACACGGCTTTCTTTCTCACCTCCTTAAAGTTCTCATTCAAATGTCCCCCCCGAAGCGAGGCCCTCCCTGGTCGGTCCATGGAAAACTGTGCCCCTTCCCCAAACATATCCTCGGAACGTATCTTGCTTTGCTTTCTACATGGCACCTTTTAACCACCTAACATGTTGTCTTGCCTTTTGCTCATTTGTTTGTTCTGTTTATGGACTCCTGCAACCAAATACAAGTTCCGGGGGAGAAGATACCTTCACTGCGGTCCTTCTTAGAGCATTACCACCTAACACAATGCCTGGCACAAACTGAACATTTGATAACTATCCCTCAAACAAATGAATAGACCGTGGGCAGCTTATCGGCAACCAGAAAAAAGTTAAGAGGGTGAGGGGGCTCCTTGCATTTAAACAGTCTTTCATAAATCACTCTACTTTGCATCTTGAAGGACGCAGTTTGAAAACTGCATTAAGTTAGGTCAGTGGTTCTCTTTGCCCCTCTTCGGAACAGTTGGCAATGTCTGTAGACATCTTTGATTGTCACAACAGTGAGCAGTGGATGGGTGCTCCTGGCATCTAGGGGGTAGAGGTCAGGGATTCTACAATGCACAGGACAGTCCCCTGCAACAGACCATGACCCATCCCAAAATGTCAATGGTACTTAAGGCTGAGAAACCGCAAACCTGATTTAGGCAGAGGTAACTTCTTAGATCTAACCCAACGGCATGGAGACACTGTACATTACAAGGGAGGATGGGAGGGAAGAAAGTAGGTCAATTTGTTGGTATCAGAGAAAGACCAATGACACAAAACTTTCACGTGTAAAATAGAGGGAGGTTAAAAATGACACCACGTAGTGTTTACCCAGCAAGGAATAACACATGTTACTGTGGATTTATCTCTAAAAACAAGAAAAGAGGGGTGCCCGGGTGGCTCACTCAGTTAAGCGTCCGGCTTCGCTCAGGTCATGATCTAGTGGTTCGTGGGTTCGCGTCGGGCTCTGTGCTGACAGCTCAGAGCTGGGAGCCTGCTTCATATTCTGTGTCTCCCTCTCTCTCTGCCCCTCCCCCGCTTGTACTCTCTCTCTCTCAAAAATAAACAAACATTAAAAAAATAAAAATACATAAAAAACAAGAAAAGAACGTCTCTGTCCTGCCCAAAATAATTGAGAAGAAAAGGAAACTGAATTGTAAAGAAGGGTGTCTGATTCCTGTCCCTTTAGGTCCCTCTAAAATTGGGTCCTAAGCTCTCGTTACATGTATTCCTTCAGGAGTAACTGACAAAGTTGTAATAAAAAGAGAGAAAAGTCCCAAATTGCCCTCTCGTCCCTGAGAGTCAGTGTGTTCTACTACTGATGGGTCTGAGCATTTGGCAGGAGCCAAATCTACAAGAGGACAGCGGCTTCACTCCTATTCCTAGAGGAACACTGGGGAGAAGAGAATTTGGCGAGAAATTAACCAGGCGCTCAACACCAGGTAAATTAACCAGAAAAGATACTGAGGGATGCAGCGTTCCTTCCCCCTGTAGGCATCATGGGAGCTAGTCTAATATCACAGTTAAAGACCTCTCCTCCTAAAAAATGCACTAACAGTTTGAAGAAATAAGTCTTCGGGAAGAAATAAATAAAGCCTTATGGACTAATAAGACCATAACATCTCTATAAGAAAACATATTTATGGTTGGATGAAAAACTAAAATTCTCTCTTCTGGAAGAATACATTTGGTATAGACATTAATGTCCAATTAATAGGTGAAGTCAAATGCAGTCTTTGCACAGCTTCCCTCCTTTGTCCACGTAAAGGCATTATTTGGTGCTTTCTCCTCTGACTTTTTTAGGGTATTTTTTCATTCATCTCTTTGCTTATTCTGTTATGTTACCTTTTAACTGAAATGGCACTTTTTCCAAAAGAAGCTCTCTACTTTCTTCCGCAAAGCATCTTTTGAGACTGAAAGCAAACCTAACTACTATGAAGGCAAAGAGAACTTTTGAGAAAATGGTCTTCAGTAGAGCTGAGAACCACTTGGCAGTTACCAGCAACTAATCTTTGAAGAAATGGGCAGTGAGGAGGTAATATAGAAATACGTGTATGTTTTTCATTAACGAATGGAAAATCAGCCACGGATCTGTATTCCCGGAAACCAAACAGAAACTCCCGCCTTAGGACGGAAAGACTGAGAACAAATTTCGACTAAGACTAGTCGAAAGGTTTTTGTCGGTCAAAGCAATATTTGACTGACACAGAGAAGATTATGTTAGTTTATATCTGAAACTACTGAAAATACTGGAAAAGGATGAGGAATAAAATAGTTGTTTCCTGCTATAGCAGGGGGGATTCCCCCCCCCCAGACTGACAAAGATAAAACAACCCTAGACCATAGAAACCTGTCAACCGTAAAATGACTTACGAACTGTATATTAACAACGGTAACTTACGGACAGCAAGGGAATGGCAACTTTTCCAAGAAAATCAGGAGGTTTATCTCCATCTTCGTCAAACACTGTCACTTCCAAAACATCGTGGATATCTTTAATAGGACTGAAACAAGAAATGTACCACCTATTATATACAAAAACACAGAAGTGGAGTCTGTTCCATGAAGATCTGAACACACGGTTTCACTAATTAAGCCTGTATGCCCTTAGAGTATAAAACTACCATTTAATTAAATTCCAAAAATTAAATCAAACTGAACTCTATTCCCAAACCTTCCATCATGGAAGATTCAGACATCCCTGTGAAAAAAAAAAAAAAAAAAAAAAAAAAAAAAAAGTCAACTTTTTTACTCTGACATTTTCCATGCATATGTGCACTCGAGGGTAGGACTATTAAAGAAACAGGAGGATAAAGAATAAGAGACAGAATGAGGAGAGAAAAAGGACAGTGATTTCAAAGTAGCTTCCAAATAGGCAATAAGACTGTCTTCAAATTAATGAAGAAAAAAGTAAATTAATGAAGAATTCCCTTAAAAAAAAAAAAGGGCGGTGAAAATCACTTTTGCGGAGATTTACAGAAAATTTCCTAGTGTTGAAACGCAAAATACTAAAAATCCCACGCATATTTAGAAACATTTTTTTACGTTGACCAGAAACCAGACATCACCCCTGATGAAAAATGGAGCCATGGTCATTAGCAATGTGTTGAGCAAACAAGAAAATCTTTCATATGACAATGTGCAAACTGGCTTAGGAGAGTTAATCCACTTTTCACAGATCCTTGGGAACTTTCACTAATGTTTTATAGTTTTCAGAGTACAGATCTTTCACCTCTTTAGTTAAGTTTATTCCTAGGTATTTTATGATTTTTGGTATACTTATAAATGGGATTGTCTTATTAATTTCTGTTTCTGCTGCTCCATTATTAGCGTATAGAAATGAAACAGATTTCTGTATATTGATTTTTATCCTACAACCTTACTGAATTCATGTATCACTTCCAGTAGGTTTTTGGTAGAATCTTTAGGGTTTTCCATATAGAGTATCATGTCATCTGCAAATAGTGAATGTTTTACTTCCTGCTTACTAATTTGGATGCCTTTTATTTCTTTTTCTTGTCTGATTGCTGTGGCTAGGACTTCCAGGAAGATGTGAAATAAAAGTGGTGGGACGGGACATCCTTGTTTTATTCTTGACCTTAGGGGAAAGCTCTCCTTTTTTCCTATTAAGTATGATGCTGTGAGTAAACCTACTTCATTGAGGATTTTTATCATGAATGGATGTTGTACCTTGTCAAATGCTTTTTCTGCATCTATTGAAATAACCGTATGGTTTTTATCCTCTTATTTATGTGATATAGCATGTTAACTGATTTGTAAATATTGAGCCATCCTTGCATCCTAGGAATACACCGCACTTGATTGTGGTGAATGTTTTTTTTTAAATGTATTGTTGGATTCTGCCTGCTAATATATTATTGAGGATTTTTGCATCTATGTTCATCAGAGGTATTAGCTTATAGTTAGTTCTCTTTTTCTGTGGTGTCTTTATCTGGTCTTGGAATCAGGGTAATGTTGGTCTCATAGAATGAATTTGGGAGTTTTCCTTCTTTCCTATTTTTTGCAAAAGTTTGAAAAGAATGGGTGTTAACTCTTCTTTAATTGTTTGGTAGGATTTACCTGTGCAACCACGTGGTGTCGGACTTTTTTGTATGTTGGGAGTTTGTTGATTGTGAATTCAGTTTCAACCCTTGGGAACTTTCTACTTGGAAATCATCAACTCCATTCAAACTGTATTCTTTCGGTTATAAGCCCAACATTTCTTCAGTATTGTAAGGGCAGTGAACTGTCATTTGACCCCAATTCAACAGGTGCTTCCCCTTGAAGCCCAGGCACCTCAGAATCTAAAGCAAACCAGGAAATAAATCCATCTTTCTAAATGCCTGAATTTGAAAGAGTAGACAGGGCATCCCTGTGGAGCAGGGGTCATTCAGACAAACTGGAATTCAAGGAGACTTTGGGACTCTTTGAGAAATCACAGAAAACTTATATTTTCAAAAAGACTCTGGCATAATACAAGTCTTTAGGCCTTATACTAATGTTGTCACACATAAACTTGAATTTAAGGCAGATCTACATGTGTAATTTGCTTTAACTCAGGAATGAATTTGTCTGGATATATGGAAGCTTCCACCTACTAACAGATTAATTGAGTTACTGAAAGATCTACCTTACAAATGTCTCCTATAACACTCCCTTGCAGTTCCAAATGGCCTTATCTATTATTAACACTCCATAAAATGAAAGGATAAAAGGTGTTTAGAAGGAAAAAAATAATAAGATTCATCCTTCGCTCATAAAAATGGACAGAACGTTCCACTCAGGAGCCCCAGCCTGCCCCAAACATATCACAGCTAACTGGTCTCTAAGTTAAAACTGCTCCTTGATATTCTGGAGGCTAAAGCACTTACAATGTAAAAACTTTGTTCCACTCAGGGTTGAGGTTTTTGTAAATGGTGTGTGTCTGAAGTCGGTCATTGCCTAACTCCAACAAGCAAAAAGGATCGCTCTTCCCTGGAAAGAGAACACAAGACATTGGTCAAGGCCAAGGACTCTCCTTGGTCAGAGATAAATGAATCGCAAAAGTAACAGAGGACAAGTGAATAAAAGTCATGCACCTTATATCAGTAAGACTGTGCTCACTGAAAGGGCAAAAGTGAGCATCTCTTTCCAGCATGTCTTGTGTAGGAATTCAGGACACCGACAGAATCTACACGCGCCAGAAGAGGAGCACCTAATGGACAGGGACTCATATGCAACCCAGATGCAGGACTGACAGCCAGTGACCACACAGGTCACATAGGAGCAGGTGTCAATCTGGCAGGTGAGGGAGTCCAGTTTTGTGTTTTGTTTTAAAACAGAAGCTCTTCTCGACTCAAGGAGAACGTAGGCAGCAAACAGAGAGGAGCTTCTGTTTTACAGGTGCCTGGGTGGCTCAGTCGGTTGAGCATCCGACATCGGCTAGGGTCATGATCTCATGGTTCATGAGTTCGAGCCCCACAGTGGGC